CCTCCCCCCCCCCCCCCCACAGATGGGTCTGGCCACTTCCTATGCAGTGTGGGCCCTCTCCCGGAGCTTCGCAGCCTTCTTGGCCTCCAGAGTGATTGGAGGCATCAGCAAGGGGAATGTTAGCCTCTCCACAGCCATCGTGGCAGACCTGGGCTCCCCCGCAGCCCGAAACCAAGGCATGGTGAGTGTTCAGTTCAGCCCCACAGAAAGGGGTTGACTGATGCTTGGGCCCCAGTCTCCCTGGCCAGCTCATTTGCCTTCTTCTCCAGGCAGTCATTGGAGTGGCCTTTTCCCTGGCCTTCACGCTGGGCCCCATGCTTGGGGCCGTCCTGTCTGTTGAACTGGCACCCTGGTTCAGCTTGCTGTTTGCCATCTCCGACATGCTGTTCATGTTCTGCTTCTTGCCAGAGACGCTGCCCCGGGAGAAACGGGTAGGGCCAGCCTCGGGTTTCTGTCAGAATGAAGGGGTGCCCTCTCATCTGTGCCAGTGCCAAGATAGGGTGACCTTTCCTCTCCTGTTGTCCAGAAGCTGCTAGCCCCACGGTACCTCTTGGGTTCCCTGAGTCTGTCCCGGAGGCCTGGCCGGTACACTGGGGGCTGGCAGGTGGCATCCCTGCAGTGGGAGGGGGTTGTGCTGGTCCTTGGGCTGCCTGGTCCTGTGCTCCCAGCCTCATGGCCAGCCTTCAACTTCTTCCTACAGGCTTCCTCTGTTGCCCTGGGCTTCTGTGCTGCTGCCAACCTGCTCAGTCCCGTGGCCCTGCTTCGCTTTGCTGCAGTTGCTCAGAGTCAGGACCCACCTGCTGGGGACAGTAAGGAGACTACCCCACATGGTGCAGCCATCAGCCCGACAGCCCAGCACTACCAAAGACCCACCAGTGGTCCCCATTGCCTTGTAGGGCTGAACAGCCTGCGCCGTCTCGGCCTAGTCTATTTCCTCTACCTCTTCCTGTTCTCGGGCCTGGAGTACACACTCAGCTTCCTTACACACCAGCGCTTCCAGTTCAGCAGGTGGGTCCTGAGGAGACTGCTTCCAGGCTCTTAGACCCTAGGCACGGAAAGCTTTTCCACCCCCACCCCTGCCTTGCTCATCCCCTGGGCCGTTGGTGGCCTAGGGGGCTGGGTGCTCACCCTCCACCTCCCAGCCTGCAGCAGGGCAAGATGTTTTTCTTCATCGGCCTCACCATGGCCACCGTACAGGGCACCTACGCCCGCCGGATCAGCCCTGGCAAGGAAGTTGCAGCTGTAAAGCGGGTAGGGTACTCTCCCTCTACCACCCCTTTAGCTGGTACCCTGAGGTTCTGGGTGGCTGCAGGGCCAGTCCTGAGACCTATGCTCTCTGCAGGCAATGCTGCTGCTGGTGCCGGCCTTCCTCCTCCTCGGCTGGGGGCACTCGCTGCCAGTCCTGGGCCTGGGGCTGCTGCTCTACTCCTTCGGTGAGTGGGCTCTGGCTGGGCAGGAGTGGACATCTCCACACCTCTCCTCCAGGCTGACAGGTGCCTCTCAACCCCCCTCCCTCCCCCCGGCCAGCCGCTGCTGTTGTGGTGCCCTGCCTGTCCTCTGTGGTCGCCAGCTATGGTGAGAGCCTTCCCTCAAGTCCTATTAAGGGTGGGGGAGGGTCGTGCCCCCCCACCACCTGACAGGTCCTCCCTTCCTCAGGTTCACCAGGGCAGAAGGGCACAGTCATGGGCACACTGCGGAGCCTGGGCGCCCTAGGAAGGGCAGTGGGGCCCATGGTGGCCGCCTCAGGTAAGAACTCCTGGGCAAGACTGTATCCAGCCTCCTCCAGCTGCCCGCTCTGCCCAGTCTTTCCAGCTGAGGGGAGGGGTGGGAGCAGGTGAGAAGCCTGAGTGAGCGGTCTTCCACAGTGTACTGGCTGGCTGGAGCCCAGGTTTGCTTCACCATGTGCTCCGGGCTCTTCCTGATCCCCTACCTCCTCCTGCGGAAGCTGAGGCACTCAGCACAGACTTCCAAGGCTGAGTAGCCATACCCATGCCCAGATGCCCAGGCTGCAAGTGGGAACCTGGGCCAAGACCATTCCCCACTGAGGTCCACTCCTTCCTCTACACCCTGGGAGACTTGCCATGCCCCTCCTCTCCAGGTGTGGCAGCTTCTCACCCTCTCTGGTGTCCCAGGCCCTACAGGGTGTGGCCCCAGAGCCTTTGAGAGCCATTGTTTTTTAGCAGTCATCCTTTAGAATGACAATAAAGTAACCCTTTCACATACTAAGGTCTTCTCACCTCCTCCTTTTATTCTAACTTGAACGTGAGAGAGCGGACTGAGCAGCCCCAGCTCCGGTCTACAGCTTCCCTTCCACTGTCAGCTGTTCTGGTGGCCCGAGGTGAGTGCTCCTTCTAGGAGCAGGGCTCTGCTGGAACACAGGCAACAAGCCAGTGCTACACTGGAAGAAAAGGGCTGCCTGTCTCCCTGTAGCCTTAACCGCAATGGCTCCTCAGGGAGGGGTAGGGCCTTCCAAGCACCTCCCATCCTTGTTGGAAAGTTGCTGGGTAACCACAAACAAGTGCCACAGCCCAGGGCCTTTCTGTGGGGCCTAGCCCTGCCTCACCAGAAAAGGCAGCATAGGACAGGCAGCTCAGGCCCTCCCAGGCCAGGTCTCAGCCCTTGGCAGGTGGTAGGGGATCCTGTGTGTTACACCATGTGAGGAGGGGCTCTCAAGCTGTCCTTATCCCGAACCTCCCGTCAGACTGGACCACATTGCCATCTGCTTGGTGCTCAGCTTTGGGGGACAAAGTATCCCAAAGGATACTTTGGGGGAGTATCTGGATAGACTTCTGTTTTGGAAGCCCTGCTGCTCCCTGGGTGCCACTTCTGTCCCTGGGGAGGGCTGTAAGCTCACAGTAGACAAGCCTTCTGGACAGTCCATGGCTGCTGGTGATACCTTGTCAAGAAAAGACAGCTCTTAGAAACCCTATTTCAGGGTGAGATAGCCCAGCAGACAAGATACCTGCTACTGAGCCTGTCAACTGAGTTCAATCCCTAGAACCCACATGGTAGGAAAGAGCCTACTCCCATGAGAAGCGTTAAATATGTCTTTTCTGCAAAGAACTCTAAAACCTTGATTTAGGAAAAAATTCAAATCTTTTACCCCAACCTGTAAAACCTTTTGTTTATGCAAAACCCCCGTGGATTCCTGGATCCCCAAGGCCTGGCGCTGCTGAGCCTTTGGCCAACCTTTCCCCCTTCCCCTTCATACCCTCTGTGGACCCCGGCCACTGGGGGAAGTCGACGGTACTCTTGACTTAGTAAAAACCTACCCACTAGAATAACGAAACATACCTTTTGCAAAGTAAAAGCTGTTGCTTTGCCATTTTTTTTAAAAAATATTTTTATGTGTATTCATGTATTACCTGCATGTAGGTAAAGTGCACCATATCGTGCAATGCCCTCGGAGGACAGAAGAGGCTGTCGGATCCCCTGAAACTGGAGCTACGGACAGTCATTAGCTGCCACGTGGGTGCTGGGATTCGAACCCAGGTCTTCTCCAAGAATAACCAGTGTTCTTAACCTCTGAACCATCTCTCCAGCCCCGAGTTACTTTCTTGTGTGGGGTCCTTAGACCTAAGGTTTTATTCCTAACATTCCCACGTTTGTTCCTCTGATGTCTACACACTGACAGGTACTAAATAAGAAACTAAAGGAACAGAGCTTAAAATGTAAAACCGCCTCCCAACCTTAGACAAGGAAACTGCTTAAAGACTTTTATTTGTGAGTAAAACATGTTACAATGAGGAGAGGACATACAGAACATGTCCTCCAAGTCTGTGTCCATATTTGCAACCATATTTCATGTTGTAATACAAAGGGTTAGACTACAAAAGTGAAAATTAAAGAGTCATTGCATATGTGGGAAGAAAAGGGGCAGGAGGAGGGCGAGAACGTCACACCACCTCAGCAGCAAAGCGAGACCAGTGGTGCAGCAGGCTGTGGAGCCCTGCTTGGTGCCCAGCCGGCGGGATCATGAGACTTGGCCCACAGCTAGCACCTGTTCTACAGGGGCCTACCCCAGAGGGGATATCGGCCTCGGCAGGCTTCCCCACTCCTAGTCAGGCTGGCATGGGCAACTCCTGGAACATGGCCCTCTGAGGACTCCATCTAGCCACCCTCCAGTTCCCACTAAGCAGCTTCAAGCCCTTTTCCAGGGATAAAAGTTAAAATTCACAATGGGATGGACTGAGGAAGTCACAGGCCCCAGGAATGATGCACAACGTTGGTGGGTCCTCCAAGGCTGACTTCTACCTTCAATGACCTTTCATCAAAACCAGGGCATCTTTCAGACTTGAGTTGGGGTGAGAAAAGACCCCTGCTCTGCTCCCAAACAGGCTGAGTCCTCTGCTGCAGTCTGCCACAGGCTCAGAACAAAAACTAAAGCAAAAAGTGACCTGTTCATGTTCACAGTCAAAATTAGGCTAAATTGCAAACCTCCTGAAAGAAAGCTCTAAAAAGGACTCTTCCCCTCCTGGCCTCTCTTCCCTATGCTGGGAATCCAAGAACCCAGTGAGTAAGATAAACTAAGAGTCTGAATCTGGTTTTGGTCACAGGGTCACCAGTTAGACCATGCATAGCATTGTGTTTGGTGTCCCCAGGGCTACTTGGATTTTACAGCCCGGCATCAGGCCCAAACCCACCTCTAAGGCAGCCACAGTGCCCGGGGCTGCTGGTGGCCATGCGAGTGTTTTCACAGACCACAGCTTTGTATGGTCCTGTGACCACACAAAAGTCCCTGTGTGTATGAGCAGAGGATGCCAGCAGAAGCTGAGTCCAAGTCACCTGAGACTCTGTAGGATGGAGGGAAGCTGAGCAGAGACGGTGTGGTATTTCACAACAGAAAGGAGAGTGAAAGTCAAGGCTCAGGAGGGTGATGCTGTAACCAGAGCTGGCAGAAGCCTCTGGTACCTTCCAGCCAGGACCAGGATTCAGTGTCCCCCTCCTGCAGGGGGGCACACCTCACAGGTGCAGGTTAAGCCCTTCATCCCTAGAATCCAAGGCCTAGGGGAGAGACTGAGCACACTTGGGTACTGGTGCAGGGGCGGGCCACATGTGGGAGGGGCTCTAGCTACATGGAGGGCTTGGTTTTTGCATTCCATTACAAACACAAGAGGACAATATGAGACGGAATCAGGAACTGGCAGGGCCAGGTCAGCACATGATGGTGCAGCGGCCTTCAGGAATCACTCCTCTTCTTGCTCTTCTTGAGGAAGGAAGGGGTGCGGAACTTCTTCTTCTTCTTGGATGGGGACTTTCCTGGAGACCCATCGCTGACATGGTCCACAGCAGAACCCTCCTCAGTGGCAGGGGAGGCTGCCTCGTCAGCTCCCAGGGCTGAAGCTGGGGCTGGCTCAGGGTCAGCCTCAGCAGGGGACTGGGTGGGCTCCGGGGGGCCATGGGCTTCCTCCTCCACTGTGGGAAAGCTGAATGCTTCTGAAGGCTCATCAGGGGACAGGTCAGGGAGAGTCGGCTTGAAGGTGGCGGCATCACTATCATCCCTAGAAGTCGGTTCCTGTGGAAGGTCTGGTGGTGGGGGTGAGAGCTGGGTTAAAAACAGGACAGAGTGTCTGGAAGTAGAAGCCAGCCCAGAGGTGCCAGCTCGTGATCTCTAGATGGTTCCCAGACCAGAAACTTTAACTCTACTGTAGGCTTGTATATAGCTGATGTCATAAAATGTTGACTCAATCTCAGAGAGCTACTAGTATCTTCTCACGGAAAGCACAGTGACAAAACCAGACCTTGCCAGGGTCCAGGGCTACAGCTCCCACTCCTGCAGACCACAGGAGGATAAGCTGAGCACATCCTAGGTCGATGTCACTCTACCGAACGGCAGAGAGTGGTTTGCTCGAGCATTCACATACTGAAATTAAGCCTAAATCTGGCTCCACAACACCTGGTCTCCCCGAAGGCAGCCATTAGAAAGCTAGGAGTCAACTCCCAAATCCCATATGCAGTAAGTAAAAACCTAAGTTAGCTAAGAGATGAACTGGAAGGCAAACCATGTTCACAAAAAATAGCTAAACATGAAGAGGAAACATAATTTCCATTAGGAAGTAGGATGGGCTGGTTTCCATCTAGGGAGTTGACATGTTTCTGCACTGATGCAGGGAACACCAGTGTTGGAGATATTTAGTCTATAAAATTACAAGCAACTATGTTAGGCAATACCAAACCATTTAGTACTTAAAACTCAAGCCAAAGATAAGGACCAACAGCAGCTGAGCTTAGATGGGTTAGGAGCAGCCTGGACACAGAAGATCCAGGCCTCAAACATGAGCGCACAAGCTTTGGAAGGCTAGAGATGCCCCCAGAGGCACCCAGTTGGCTGTCCTTTGGCCCCAGGATAACTGGCAGGGAGAGGGCTGTGGGCCTGCAGGCTTCACTCACCCCATACCAGGGTTCTCTCCGCCAAGCCCACTGCACACATCACTCCATCCCACTTAAGTTGCCAGTCCCAGCCGAAGTACACGTCCAAACAAGCTTCCCCACCACAGGTGGAAGTACCCACTCTGTCAGAACCCTTCTGTACCTTCCTTCTGACCCCATGGGGCCAAAGCTTACCAACGACAATCAAGAGCATAAGAACTTTCTGCAGCCCAGGGTACTCTAGCACTGCTGTGTGATAGGGAATGGAGGGGCCCTGGGAGGCCATCTTGTTGCCTGTGTAGGCCAACACTATCTTACAGTACTCCAGTGTCCAAACCACTCCAGAGGCCACTGAGGGGCTGGGTGCATTAAAGAGATCCTCTGTTTTTATTTTGATAAACAGAAAACAGAACTTAAGCAACAAAGAAGCAGGAAAACGAGGCGCAGCGCAGGCACCTGGTTAGAGCGGAGGCGGGCGCAGGTACTTACTAGGGTAGCAGGTACCTGGTTAGAGCGGAGGCGGGCGCAGGTACTTACTAGGGTAGCAGGTACTCTTTAGCACATCCGTCTCCTGCTGTGAGGCGGCCACAAGAAAGAAAAGCACAAGTAGAGAATCTATGCATTCAGTCACAGCCATTGGGTTACGTAAGAAGAAAGGCCAAGCCATTCTAGTGGACCACGACCAAGGGGAGGAGAGCCACAGACACACGTACAGGAGACTGAGGGACACACATGTTGGACCACACAACACATACATGCAGTGGTCTGAGAGGCACAGGGTGCACACAGCACTCTCAGGGGACTGATCCATGCAGCAGGTCAGAAGTCCTGCAGCCACACACACTCAAAGGCCCCTCGGTGATCTGACTACAGAGGGAGAAGAGTTCAGGAAACGGGCGAGACTGACATCGGAAATAACGGGATGAGCTTCCATCTGGCTCTAACAGCTCAAACTCTTCTGACTGGAGCTACTCAAGATGGAGCAGATTCGAGAGAGAAGCCTGGGGGATTCCAAAGCTGTGGAAGTCACAGGACCGTATCCATGTTAATGGAATATCTGCCGCATTCCAATGTCAGTGCACGTAAGGCCATGCAACCTCCCACACCAGGACTACTGTGTCTCACCGCACAGCTCACCTTCTTCGAGCTTGATGGGGGTACTGGGGGGAGTGTGGGGGACGGCTGGTTGGTCTGGAGGACTCTTTTCTTTCTGTTCTCTCGTCTCATCCAGATTCTCTGCAGATGGAAACAAAGTGAGAAAATCGGTGCTGAGCGGGAGAGCCGGCTCCTTCCACCATAGGAGAGCTTCCAGTGCTTTCAGGCTGTTACAAATACACAGCTTGCATCCAAGGAAGCTGCATGCGCTCCCGGCCTCTCAAAAGGGGAAGGAAGGACTGACTATAGTAGGGGTACTGATTTCAATTTCAGAAAAATTGACCAACTGTGGCCTCCAACAGCAATCATCTTGTCTCAGCCTCCCAAACACTGGAAGTACAGGCCACTACACTGGGCTAATTTCTACTTTTATTACAGAGAGACTCTGCAGGCCAGAAAGATGGTTTAGCAGTAAAAGCAACTGCCACACAACCCTTAATTCCATCCTGAGAACACAGTGGAAGGAGAAAACCAACCTACACAAGTTGTCCTCTGGCCTCCATGCACACACCACACCAATAATGACAAAATAAAATTGTTTTCAAATTGTTCAAAGGGTACCTTTCACGGCTGCACCCAGGGCAAACTGGTGGGCATGCCCCGGCCTGACCAGGAATGAGAAGCCCTCTGGCTACAGAGTGACACCCGTTCACTGCCTGCCAGGATGCTACAGCAACATTACTTGGGGTTTAGTTTCTTATGCAAGGTGTTTCCCATCAATGATCTGTGTGTATATGTGTGTACATGCATGCCACAGAGCGCATGTGGCGGCAGAGGACAACCTCGCTGTCAGCCCTGTTTTCCCCTGTGTGAGACAGGGGCTCTTTGCCATTTCCCACTGCGCTCACAGGCTGCTGGTCACAGCTTCCGGAGAGTCTCACAGCTCCTGTATCTACTTCCCATGCACCCAGAGGAGCCAAGACGTGTGCACTACTGTATCCAGCTTTTACAAGGTTCTGGGAACCCATCCATATCAGATCATCAGGCTTGTGCAGCAAGCCGTACACTGAACCATCTCCCTAGATCCCTATCAATAACTTAAACTCAGCAACTCCAGTGTTATTATTTTTTCCTTAAAGTAAAATAAGCTGATAAGAATCAGAGGAAAATGGATAGGAACTGGGGCCCCAGATCCAGAAAACTCCAAGTCTACTTCTCATTTAAGAAAAATATATTTCAGGGGCTAGAGAGATGGCTCAATAGTTAAGAGCACTGGTGGCTCTTGCAGAAGCGGCTTTTGCAGAGGATTCAATTCCTAGCACCCACATGGTGGCTAATAACCATCTATATAAGCTCTAGTTCCAGGGGACTCTGACACCCTCTTCTGACCTCTGTGGGCATTGCGTGACACAGGTGCACTTACATACAAGCAGGCAATATGCTCTAAAATAATTTTAAATAATAAAAATATAAATATTATCCTAATTTTTAAAATCTCTATCTTTCATCTAAAAATCTTATGTTAATAACCTAAGATTTCCAGGCCCTATAGTCTATACAGCCTTCTAAGCTTATCAGGATCCCTAACTTCAGCTCTAGCTCTGACATGTGGGCTGCGTTCCTAAGCCTGGGGGGCTTCTGTCTACAACGAAGGCTACCTGTCTCCTTTCTGAGAAAACTCCCACCGGCACCCCAAGCTTAACTGTGGCATGGCCCCTCCTCCAGCACACGCCATTCCTCTGCCTAGAGGTGCGCCAGCAGGAAGCAAGGCCCACAGGCAGTAGCCCCACCCTCCCCTGGCTGCCAGCTCTGGTCACAGGGCACAGGCAGAGCAAGCCTGACTCCATCACTTCCATGCCATCCCTGAGGGAGCCTCCCATGTAGGGGAAACTCCTGTGGCCTGCACATGAGCCAAGCAAAGGAACAGGACCATCTTGGGCAGCCCCTTCAAGACCATACACTGTGCTGTTAAGGCATGAATGGCAAGTGGTCGTGTTGTACCCATTGAAAAATCAACTGAGTGACTGCTTCTGACACAACTTCCATTTCCACAGCAGGTACGTGATGCAGTACTTGGTCGAAAACAAAACTAAGAAAAGTTAGGTTGGGTCAAATGGATTGTCTTAGGAGCCCGATGCTCAGAAAGGGACCCTGTGCACAAAGGTCCATCTGCAAGGTCAAGCTGAGGGGCACATTCCGGGTTCAGTGCAAGGGGCGGGGCTAGAGCTGAAGGCTCTGAGGACACTGGCACGAGTGTTCAGGGAGATGACATCTCTACCTCAGGGTCTTCCTAGTACCAGCCAAAGGTGCTCAGTGCCTGGTAACAGAGTAGGTGGCAGGAAGTGCAGAAAGAAAGTAGTGTGCCCCCAAACAGCCACCCAGACAGGCCAGAGGCCTGCTTCTTATTAATTCTCAAATGTCTGGATCTGCTTTTCAAAACCTCGAGTTTAGAAGAACTTGCTCTGTGAAGTTCTGATATTTAGATCTATCCATTGCCATTTGTTATATAACTGTCTGATTATGGGGCTGGAGAGACGGCTCAGCAGTTAA